ATTATTTGTGCTGTACCTTGTATAAAATCATCTCTTTTTACCTCTAAAACACTACCAATTATCTTTTCCAGAAGACGTTGATCCGGAAGATTTAATTCTTTGTGGCAGTAATGATAATGCCAAAAATAATGAGGAGCAAAGCCTAAATGACAAATCATATGAACAATATCTCAAATCCTGTGTTGCAACGAGCTCTCTTCGTCTTAGAATCAACGTTTATACTGTACAGAGACCATATTCGGAATGGACTTTCAACGCGGTTAGCGATATATTCGAACCGCCAACTCATTACACGGATATTCCTAAATTCACCTGCGGTACCGATAAGCTTGAAGATGAAAAGTCCCAAAAGTTGTTGTTGCATCTTATCGAAGATCTAAAGATCCGTCGATCAACAATCCACGGTGTTTCAGAAGCATATAATAGCAAATTTGTGTTACCATTTCTTGCGATGGCAAGTTCCGTGTGTGGTGCGAAGGTTAAAATATATCCAGAAGAATATATCCAAGGGAAATACGGTCGTGGACCAGTGGATTTTTGTATGATATTGGAAAAAATAATCATTAGTGTTTTAGAGGTAAAAAGAGATGATTTTATACAAGGTACAGCACAAATAATCGTACAGCTTCATTCATCGCTTGAAGTAAGTAAAAATATGAATTTAATTACATTAATTTTATTCAAGCCTAACTCTGTTATTCCATAGAGCTCTCGAAAGAGAAGACATGAGGATGATGATTTTGTTATTGATAAAGCGTATGGAATAGTTACCGACAGTAAATTATGGTATTTTTTCGAGTGTTCTATGAATGGAGATAAACCAGAATATAGAATCCATTCAGAAGAAGGGACTTCGATTAATTGGGGTAGCAATTTTGAGGAAGGGGTTACCGAGGTCTTAGGACAGATTGTTTGGCTATTTAAAGATGCAGAAAAATTAATAGAATCAGCAAAACAAAAGAAGGTTAAATTAGTAAAATAATGTAATAAGCTTCATTTTTGATGAGTCTATTTTCTGATATAATATGTCTTGCATTTCAATTTGCACTTGATTTTTATGCTGATCGTTGTGGTATTAATGATGTCAACAACCGATAAATTATAGGTACTTCAGATAAAAAATACAAATTTCTAAATATATATATTTATCCTGTAGTTATTTTTATTTTTTATATTAATAAAGCTGGCCTGGTGGCCGATTTCAGTGCATACATAATCGCGTTTACTTTGCATGTGTATTTCGTGAATTTATTTATTTTATTGTAGTTATCGATGTATATTAACTCGCATATGATCAAGAATTTTTAAAAATATTTCTTGGAAAAGTGATCGGCGAGTTCCTGACCGTTGGTCAGGATGTTACATAATTTTTATTTAAATTAAAGGAGTTAACAAAAAAAAAATTTTTTTCAAGACGTGTGTAGTAAAAATCTTTTTCAGAACATTTCTAATAAAGTTATATAAATTAAGCATGCAACCACAAAGAGATGAATCTATGTACTTATCCGAAATAGATTCATTGAAGCTGGAATTGGAGCAGATAGTAAAAGAAAAAAATGCACTCGAGGTTGAAAACGCGAATCTGAGGCAGATTATTGAAGAGAATTCTAGACGTGATGTAGAGTTTAAGAGCAGAATTGAGGAGTTGGAGAAAAGTAGAGCAGATACTGCTTTTGAGAATGCTGAGCTTAAAACTGAAGTAGTAAAATTAAGAAGTGATTTCGAGGAAATCAAATCAAAGGGAATAACCACCGATTCTCCAGAGCAATTACCAATTTCCTCATCAGCCAAAAATGAGACGGTAAGTGTTTTTACCAAAACGAAAAATTCGAATGATACTTATGAACGGATAGACTTACGATGCGATAATACTCCTCCATCTGATATTACTAATAACGTTTCAAATTCTGATGTATCTGATAACGCTTTTTCAGAATTATCTGAAAATATATGCCAGGAGACAAATCCGACAAATCCTCAATGCACGATATCACCCATATGCGCAAAGTCTAAATCTTCTGAAGATAAAAAGATCGAATTTCTGGAACGAGTGCATAAAGAACAGATTAGGAACGAAATAAAGGAAAGGAATCGCGAAAAGAAGCTTAGATCCCAAGACCCTTTGTCATCTGATAAAGTTATAGAAGGCAATTCAGACATAGAGTGTCCTGCTTCGCAGACTATTATTCAAATAAAAATGCCCCGTAATCAGAAAATAGAACAAGATATAATTCAAGAAGTAATCCTGTTTATTAAAAAATCTCTTACCTTATCGAGTGATGAAAAAGCATACTCACAAAATGAACCTAATATTTCTGAAACCCACGATAGTAATATAGAAATAAACAATGATGGACGAGAGTTGGCCCAATTATTTTCTGATGCTGAATTTGCAGAAGGCAAAACGATAAAGGCTAAGCAAAAAGAGGTAATATGCTGGTATACTTACAGAAAAGCCTATCAAACCAGCGTTGCTGATATACGCTCCAAAACTGGCGTTTCTGATAAAACTGCAAAAAATCAAGTTTATGCTATTATTAGAGCTTCTTTACCCAATGTATCAGAAACGAATTTATATAAAAAGACTCAGAGAGCTGGGAATGTTTATAAACTGTTTGGAAAAATTACCGATCCTATAACTAAAGAAGAAATTAAAGGGATCGGAATCGACAAAGTTTACGGAACTTCATATGGTGTAAGAAGTATATCAGAATTAACTGATGCTCAAATTTTAAATATTATAAAACAAGTTACGGAAAAAACACGTGACATCCTGGCCGTTGGTCAGGAACTTCACGACGAAATTTTACCAAAGGCAAACTCATCTATTTCTGTAGATTCAAAAAAATTACCAGGTATAACTCTAGAAGAATCATTAGAAACCAAGGTAAGTATACCAAAACAGAATGATCCGATTCGTGACTGTGCTTATTTTCATAATAAGATATTGTGGAGTTATTCTGATCTATATAAAGAATTTAGTAGTAAAAAATTTGATTATTATGGAATTCATGAGGGGTCATTATGTCCGGCATGCAAGTTGAGTCATAAGGATGAGAAGAGTATAAGAGGTAGATATGAAGCTGGATCTTATTTTATTAAATGTGGACAGCATGAAATTGAGATAACTGCGTAAGTAAATAATTACATAAATCTGGTCAAGTGGATAGTGATATTTTTTTCTCTGCGGAGCAGGACATTCCGTGTCTGGCAGTTACATGAT